ACATATTTCCCATATTTTCCTATAAATCTTGATTAGTCTAAGCTATCGTATCAAATTAGTATAATCATTGCACTAAATCTACCCATCAACAGAGGAGAATCTGATTGAAGAGTAATTTCAGATCTTGATATGTCAGATTTTATAAATAGAGCCTATTGCTAGATTCTGAGAATGGCAGATAAGGGAGCAGAGAGCTATGTGATGGAAGAGATAAGTGCCTTGTTTGAAACTGAGCATAATTGTTTAGCCAATAATTTGCTTTAAAGATTTAGATCATATTTCATTACCCACAGATCACTCAGATATCATGGTGGGTAACACTACAGCAAAGCTGTGCAAAGTCTAGAAGAGAAAAGATATTATTCCCCCCCCTTCCCACCCAACAAGATATTTTTAGATTGCCGAAATCATATTTTTGATCCTTATGCTGTTGTCAAAAGAACTAGATAATCTTTCCCACTGTTTGGAGGTTGTTGTTAGTTATCATTGGCATTGTTATATTCTAAAAGTTGAGAATAAATGAAATATTAGAGCTGGACTGTATTTTATTCCTCAAAATCTCAAAAAAAACCAAAACAAAACAAAACAAAAACCCAACACAATCCTATTCTTGCTAATATTGATATCAATTAAACACTGGTAATTGGAGGTATCTATATTTGATACTATGAATCTGGAGACCAAATTCAAATCCCTGCTTGACTATAGAAACCCACTCAGTGACCTTGAGCAAGTCACATTGTCTCAGCCTCAGAAGAAAGCAAAGACAGACCCCTTCTGAACAAACCTTATCAAGAAAACCCTGTGATGCCTTAAGAGTTTATCACATTACCATTTCTCCCAGGACAGATGCAGAATGCATCTTTAAGAAAGGAGATCTTCTAGCATTGCCCTGTTGTTGGGTACAAGGCAGCCTATATGCACCCTGGGCCTCTCCTACAACTTTTCATGAATGAGTAAATCCCATTCATGACAAGCTGTGGGAGAAGCCTGGTGAGGACCCAGTTGCATTCAGGCTACCTACTGCCTGGTGATGGGGCAGTGCGATAAAATCTGCTTTCTTAAAGATATATCCTGCATCTATTTTGGAATAAATTGTAATGTGATAAACTCCTTAGTGTCACCATAATACAGAAATGATGAAGACACATAACAAGAAATATTTGACATGGCATAATATTTTATTTCAGTGGCTAGAATCCTGATGGTGACATATGAAGGCATTACACCTGCATATGACATTAGACAGTAATTGCAGAAACAGGTCCAGTAACCTCCATCATGCAAGAAACCCACATATAATACATAATAAAAGAACCCCACACATAATAAATAAATGAAATCAATCAATCAAGCAAGCAAGCAAGCAAGCAAGCAAGCAATTTTATTTATTTCTTCAAGGGTCGAGGCAGGTTACTACATGTTAAAATACAAAACACAAAGATGAAAACACATAAAATAAACAATTAAAATACAATACTATAAAACCATTAAAATACACTCATGGAATACATTTTTTAAAATATACCAATTTAAAAGTCAAGATTTTAAAATTGCCTGGGTAGGCCTGCTGAAAGAGATTGTCTTTAATGTTGGTTTAAATGTTGTCAGTGTTTTCATCTGCCATTTCTTTTCTGGCAGGTCATTCAACAGTCTGGGGGCAGCAGAGGAAAAGGTCCTCTGGAAAACCATTGCCAGTCTAGTCCTGGCCAGTTGAAGAAAACATTTCCCAGAGGACCTAAGTTTATAGGGCAGATTATATGGGAGAAGGTGATCCTCTAGGCAACCTAGAATGAAATTATGTAGGGCGGTAAAGGTAAAAGCCAACAGTTTGTAGTTTGCCCAGAAACTAATTGGAGCATATCTGGTAACTCCTCCCACCATCATTTTCCAGATGATGCTGTCTGCTTTGGACATCCAATTGCACTTACTCAGAAGTTGCCTGGCCAGCCCTATACTTCCTTGGCCACTAATTACCATGGTGGCAGATTGTTAGCATCCAGGTTTGTTGCATATAGGTGGAGGAGGCTTTATACCCTGCCAAATTGATATAGAATCTCAACCAACTGCAGATGACACCAAATTAGGAGTAGCAAATAATACCCCAGAAGACAGGATCAAAATTCGATAAGACCTTAATAGATTAGAAAGTTGGGTCAAAGCTAACAAAATGAATTTCAACACGGAAAAATGTAAGGTACTGCACTTAGGGCAGAAAAATGAAATGCATAGATATAGGATAGGGGATACCTGTCTTAATGAGACGACATGTGAAAGGGATCTAAGAGTCTTAGTAGACCACAAGTTGAACATGAGTCAACAGTCTGATGCAACAGCTAAGAAGGCCCATGCAATTTTAGACTGCATCAATAGAAATATAGTGTCTAGATCAAGGGAAGTAATAGTGCCACTCTATTCTGCTTTGGTCAGGCCTCACCTGGAATACTGTGTCCAGTTCTGGACACCACAATTCAAAAAGGATGTTGACAAATTAAAGTGTGTCCACAGGAGGGCGACCAAAATTATGAAGGGTCTTGAAACCATGCCTTATGAAGAAAGACATAGGGAGCTGGGTATGATTAGCCTGGAGAAAAGACAGTTAAGAGGTGATATGATAGCTCTGTTTAAGTACTTGAAGGGGTGTCACATTGAGGATGGAGCAAGCTTGTTTTCTGCTGTTCCAGAGACTAGAACATGGATTCCACTTCAACATTAGGAGGAACCTCTTGACAGTAAGAGCTGTTTGACAGTGGAGCACACTCCCTTGGAGTGTGGTGAAGTCTCCTTCTTTTGAGTTTTTTTTTAAATAGAGTCTGGATGGCCATCTGTCAGGGATGCTTTGATTGTGATTTCCTGCATGACAGGAGGTTGGACTGGATAGCACTTGTGGTCCCTTTCAATTCTATGATTTTATGATTTGGTTTTTGACTGTGGAGTTTTGCAGTAATTGTTAGAGCTTGCCACTGTTTCTATACTTCATACAAAAATATTTAGAATTGACATTTGATGTATAATGATGACTCACAGTGATTTTGTTTTTAAAAAATAATATTGAACAAAACATTTTCTACCACAACTCTGGCCACAGAACATCTATACATCTAGGTGCTGTGAAAGATCTTGGCTTTACCATCACTCACTGTAATCTAAGAATACTCCCAAGACAATGTCTCACATCCCTTGTAGATGCACATTGTGAACAAAATAATGGAAGGTTACCTTGTTCCAGAGTCAGCATGGTGTAATGGATTGAGTGTTGGACTACCACTCTGAAGATCAGGTTTTGATTCTCACTGGGTGAACTTAGGAGAGTCACATACTCTCAGCCTCAGAAAACTTCATGATAAGTTTGTTTTAGAGTAACCATAAGTAGGAAATAAAACAACAATGGCAATAGCCTTCTTCCATGACAAGAGACAAATAATTTTATTTGAAACGTGGTACTGAAGAAGAATTCTACAGATACCGTAGACTGCTAAAAAGGGCAAATGAATGGATATTAGAACAAATTAAACTGGAACTCTTGCTATATGTGAAGATGACTTTAGGACATATCATGAGAGGACATGACTTCCAGTCTCCTTGAATCTCAGTCTGGGAGAGAGGTAGGATCTAATTAAAGTTATTGGTGGGCAGGTTCATTAGAAAAACCTACCACACTTGGTAAACATCAATAGGTGCAAAGGGAGATTGTACTGCAAGTGAATTATTCAGTTAAGAAAGACACATCTTTCAGTTTGCAAGAACTTTTTTTGGCACACAAAGTTTGTTCAAAAACATGTGTTTTTTTTGCCCTGCAAAAATGTTTTTGCAAAGAAAGAAACACCATTGCATAAAAAAGAGTATGTTTGTGAAAAATACAATGTTTTCTGTGTATTATTAAACACCATGTCTGACACTCTGTTGGTTAATCTCAACTAAACTAGACCCATTCAGTCAATTGTTGAATTCTGAGTCATCATGTAGGTAAATGTCATTGATTCAGTGGGTCTACTCTATTCAGAACTAACAACATGATTTAAGCCACAATTTTAGAATGAATGTGCCTTTAAAAAAACAACTAAAAGTTGGATTCAGAATAACAATCATGCTTTTAAAGCATTTCCTCACTTCCAGTCCTAATTATACTGGTTTAGTTATGCTGCATTGCTTTTAAAGGGTTTTAACCTTCAAATAGTGCTAATATCTATAGTGATGATCCAAATATATCCTAATCACTTTTGTCCTTCTTCAAAATTAACTTGCATAACTAATTCCTCAGCATTTCCTCTGAGTTCTAAAATAGCTATTTCCCCATAGTGCCATCAATTTAAAGCTGAAAGGAAACAGAATAATCTCTCCAGAAATCAATAATCAATTAGTGTCACCATTTAAATAGGGCAGAAGGCAATACTGCTTTCATATAACCTATGTGTAGTTCTGTTTGGCCATCTGTCAAACTAGTGCTTGTATCAGATTCAGTTAAACTAGGGGCCAATGCAGACCAGCCAAAAGGGTCAGCCTGGGGGTGAAGTTGGGGCTCGGCAACCACACACCAGGCACCTCAACTCTGCCCCGACTCCACCATAATGCCATGTGTCCAACCACATGACGAACAGCATCAGGGTGCCCCATTGGTGCAGCATGTAGACACGGTGCACCAAAGGGGTGCAAAAGAGCTGCAGCAGTGGTGCTGAGGGTGGCTTTTTGCCACTCCAAAAAGGAGCGCCATTTGCCAGCTCTTTTTGGAGTGGCAAAAAGCCAGATTGGGGCCATGGCATGTGGTTGCCACAGCCCCAATCCGGTGCTCCGAAAGTCAGCACAGAGCTGACCCTTAGAGGCCATCTGTATGGCCCCTAGCACAATTATAGAAGTGCCATAAATGATGTCAAGGCCAAATTTTGATTCCTGGCCAGTGCTCATTGGTTTGTCTTCACTTTGGATAAGTACCATAAAGAAAGTTCTGTAGGCCCCTACCTCTCACCCTCTCATATTATCTTATGGTTAACTTCCAGTCTGGAGCCAGAATGGTTTAGTGGTCTGAGTATTGGATTGCAACTCTGAAGACCAGAGTTCAAATCTCTACTCAGCCATAGAAGCTCACTGGGTGATTTGGGCAACTCACAATCTCAGCCTCAGAAAACCCCATGATATGGTAGGTCACCATAATCCAGAAGACACTAGAAGGCACACAATAACAACAAATCTCATTTTGCACAACTTTACCATTCCTGATCATAGTAATGAATACATTGTGGCAAAGCAGCATCATGGTGTGCAGACTGAAGAAATGCCCAGAACATAACAATGAAAATGGAAGACACATTCCAGTGGCCTTGGGAATATTGCAGAAAGTAAAGGCTTAGTGGTAAGCCATCCTTGCCAAGAATGTGAGGTTCAATCATTTTTTAAAATTATTTCCCACATACACACAGACATATACATTACATATCTGGTACCTTTAGAAATGGACACTAGGACAGCCATATAACACAGAGACAATGATAAAAGTTACAACTTTTTGGGGCATGGATGATGTTCCAACATGGCTGACATAGAATAATGAGAGGAGCCTGGCCTCAATGACATTTTGATTAACTGAAGCACTTTTCAGCTACAGATCCTAAAACTTTTACCTTCCAAGGGATCCCCAATGCAAGGGACAAAACACTTGGTGGATCAAAAGATTGCAGAATTCTGCATTTCAGCAAAAGATCATAGATAATTATCAGATGAGACAGATTCCTCAGAAGAATCAAAGATGGCATGTGGCCCTAAGAGAATGAGCATAGGAGGGAAGAATGGTCACCCCACATCAGCAGACTTCTCTTTTCCAGACTTATTGGAAAAACTAAGAGAGAATTTAGTGAAAGATCTCCAAAAGGATTGGGCTGCTGCCCTTGAGCCAGTAGATGCCAAGCTATCAGCCCTAACAAGATGGATTGGAGACATAGAAGAGGCTGCAAATGTAGCTCTGCAGCGAACTTCATCCCACTCTGATAGGATTGAAATATTAGAAAATTCTCTTGAACTCCTAGAAACAAAAATTTAGGATGTGCAAAACAGAGATCAATGCCTCAACATCAGCTTGAGAGGTGTGGAGGAGCATGAAGGATCAGTTAATCTTCTGTCCCACATTCTTAAGTGTATTAATGACATCTGCCCTAATTTAAGCCTCAATTAGACATAGAACAGATCCATAGATCACTTGCCCCAGATCGAGAACATCCATGCAGCCATGGCATTTACTGAACTGATTTGCACATTACCCCAAAAAATCTTTAGTTCTGAGCAACCTTTCATCTATTAAGGACTTATAATATAATGGTCTCAAAGTCCAGGTATACCAGGATCTCTCACCTGAGACATTGAAGCAAAGATGTGACCTCAAACTGCCCACCTCTCTTCTACAAGAAGCTGGGATAAAATATAGATGGGGTTTCCCATTTAAGCAAATTGTCACTCATAAGAACAGAAACATGATAGCATCAACTAAAAGCCAATTGATTGAAATCTGTGAAGCTCTAGACATAAGGGTACCCAGGGACTTAGTGGAAGAGGCAAAACTTGAAAGTAAACCCAGACTAAATCCAAACACCTCTGAATGGAAGATGATCACTAAAAGAAAAGGAAATGCAAGCATGAAGAAATCACCTCTAACAGATTGGGGGACACTCTTCAAGCTGGATTTGTTAAGCACTGATGAAATGGGGTAGATTAACAAACACTGATTCTCCCTGGATGTTGGATAGCTGATGTCAGATTCAAAGATAAACAAGTGAGAGCCATATTGGTTTTTGTTGTTCTCTTGTTGTTGTCCTGCAGAGGGGCCTTCTGACCCTCCATTTGTTTTACATTACTACACAATCTTTCCTGCTCTTATTATGGTGCAAAAGGCCTACTCCCACCTCA